TGTGTGGTTATCGATTGGTCATCGATTGGCCGATACCAATCGATACCAATTAACTAATTTTATCGAATGATATCGATTGATCGATTGAATTTCCGACCATCGGTTTCCATCGATTGGATACCCCGGGACGGGTTTGCACAGTATCTTTGTCGTCTGATAAGAAGCCTCGAGCTGTTCGCAACATGGGATGCTTGCTCATAGCGAACCCTTTCATGTACATGGCGATGTTGGAGATTTCATCACTCAACAGATGTCGCAAATTCTGGAACCACTTCGGATAGCCAACAATTTTCTCAGCATCCGAAAGAGCTCTTGTCAAATCGTCTTGTCGAGAAGACCAGATAAGTCTCCTTATAAAAAGACATGCGCATCGAGATTGCCTTGAGAGGAGAGTAGAATTATGTTGCAGCAGCCTACGTTTGGAGTCATGATAGCTTCTGATGAAACGAAAAGCTAATAGCAATGGTTTTCTTACCTTCGCAAGGCTGCCAACGACCGCCATTTTGCATCTTTGAACTTATGTCAGTGGTAACATAACAAACAGGTTGACACGTCATGTAAAGTTATATTGTTGAATCACTGAGGCTCTTCAAATTTAATGTTTAATTCTAAAGGTTTCCCACAAGGTGCGGGAAATCAGTCATGGAGGGTCGATTGGACTAGTTGGCAAGCAGAGCAAAGAAGAAAGGTAACGTAAGAACAAAGAATGTATGAATATATAAGACGAATGCGTTTTCTTCTCCATCTTCTTTTTTTATTCATTGTTTTCTTTTCTTTTTTCGTTTTTTTGTTATTTTTTTTGTTTTACTCACCACTTGATTAACTTACTTTCAGGGGTTAAATTTAGCCAGAAAATTAGTGGCGAAGTAAGCGAAGAAAGGGGCGAAAGGGCAAATCTTTTTAAAGCAGACGCTTATGCGTGTCATTTGTCACTCGTAAATTTTCCGTAAAACCACAAATTCTGGCTCAACAAAAATTGGTGTCTATAAAAGTAAACCGATTACTCTTTATTAATTAATGCCATATTAAATTAATTAATGCCACATTTTTTAAATTTTTGTTTTAATTTCATAAGGCTTTGATTTCATACAATACGGAAGATATGTCCTTTCTACTGAAAAGCCATTATGTATATTCGACATGTTGAAATAGCACAAAGCTTTCGCGACATTTCCTCAAACACAGTGAACTTCAAGGAGTGACACTTACGAATGACACGGATGAATTACCTGGATGAATTTCGAAGATAACAAGCGAATTTTGCGATGCTATCGCAAGATTTAAGAAGACTGAGAGGACAGTGGCTGCTTTTCAACAAGAGAGTATTGTGCGTGAGTGACATCCATTTGACCAAGTTTTAAATGACGACAATTTCATGACAGGTAATTCACTTTATATACACAATGGAACAAGCGCTATTTATATCCTGCCGTGATCAATAATTAGTGTTTGCAAAGCTATGAGACTAATTGCGATGCAAATAACATTTCGGTGGTACAACGCCTATCAATTTTACGCTTCCGTGCATTAAAGAGTCATAAGATTTCTCGATGATGAAACTGCACACGCATATTATAGTGCTGATAACGTTCGTCAGTCTTGTACTATACCATGGCTGAAAATCGGATTAATGGGTTTGTTTTGGCACGTTCGTCAGTAAATGGCAGAGAAAACATATCTCAGGGCATTGACGTTTCGAAGATTTATAGGGATCAGGGAAAAGATGTTGATGATAACGAGTTAGGACATAAAGCAGATTTACGAGAAAGTCTACTGCGTCGAGAGACTGGAAATGCGGAAGCCGAAAGTTTCGTGATCGAAGGGCCGTTACACGGCCAAGAGACTTCGATTTCAGGTTTTAGAGTTGGGACTCGACGTAAAAGTGAAGCACAGTCATTACCAAGAGCTACGTTGACGCCGCAGGCCATAAACACTCGAAGGAAAAGCACTAGCGAGTTAGAACTAGAGCCTGATGACAGACGACGCACGAGTCCGCAGAACTCAGAGAACTTGAGACTAACGTCTGTTCCATTTACAGGTTGGAATGAAGGGGATATGTTTCACGAAAGGAGAGATACTTCACATAACAACTACGAGAACGACAGGGTTGTACAGACGTCGACTTTTCCAGCCATGTCTCGCGTAAACTTTGACGAGGGTGAAGAATTGAAATTGTCGTTCTCTGGTCGAGCACATCGAAAAGAATCAAAGTTTAACCGGCTGAAAAGCGAGGAAAGCGCCACTGTAAACAGTGAACGTTTGGTACACTTCGAAAACGATTCTCCAACACACAAACCAAGTCTTCTCGATCCAGGGCAGGGGAATTTATTGCGGAAGAGAACGTCTGATCAAGAGCTAACCAGGAGCAGAAGTTTTTCAGATAGCGAGGTGGAAGACCCCACGCGGATTTCTGCAGAGCAGAGAGAGAAACTTGAACGTTTAAAACGTCAAATATTAGAGAAAAATTTGAAGGGAAAGGGTGGAAGAAAAGTGAGTGGAGTACAACAAAGCACAGGGTTGACTGGAGAAAGCAGATTTCCTGTTTTAACGGAGAAATCATTGAAGCGTTACGCAAAATATCACGAGACGGCACACGCAGCAGCGTCGCTAAGTACGATAAATGCAGATCAAAGGATTTCGGCATTGACTGATGTTAGTTCAGAACAATATCAAAATTCTGATATCGAGACAGCATCAAACGCGGAAAAAACAAGCGGCGAGTTTATTGCAGCTCCTTCTCTATCAACTTTAACATATTCTGAAAACAACCCAATTATTGAGCGGAAGGCTTACGGATCAGACATTCCAAGCCCGCCGAACAGCGAAGACGGCGACTTCGAATCGATCAGCACTATTAGTGTCGCACGGTCACGAGCACGATCCGAACCAGGTGATGTAGCCACCCGAAAGGTATCGACCGTACAGCAACTTCAAAATCGCTCCAGATCCGAAACTTACCAATTGAACACGAAGGTTCAATCGTTTGTAAAGAAACCACTTCCTGCATTACCGCCCTCCACGTTACGCGTGAAGAAACAAGCTCCAGAAAAAGTGACCTCAAAAGCAGGCCATTTTAAGGCGGGCGCAAATGCGAATGTCGCTCTTGAGAGGTCACGCGAGAAAAAAGAAGGAGTAATCAATATTCATACTTGTCCAAACATGAACCTGTTTTCAGACAACTCATGGATGTACCAGGAACTGTCTCGAAAGAAACACAGGTACATCAGAGCACCCGCCACGCCTGTGCCACCTGCCGAGTTTGTATTCAGGAAGGATGAGCCCGATAGCTAAACTGTGGGTAGGTCAGTAGATGGGCAGGCAGGCAGGCAAGCAGGCAGACAGGCAGGCAGGCAGGCAGGCAGGCAGGCAGGCAGG